ATAGCTGACACAAGCCTCAAGTCCAACTCACTTAACACAACCGAGAAGTGGAGCGTTGGAGCTAACGATGGTGCAGAACAGCTTGAACCCGTGGAGAAAGGAGAACTTGTAGCTGAGCTTGAGGATGAGGAAGCCTTTCATAAAAATGACGACGAGGAAGCCCTTCCTGAAACAAACAAGAAGCTTGACGACGAGGAAGCCCTTCCTAAAGCTAAGGAGCCATCTATGGGAAGTTTGCATATATATTCCACCAATATATTATGCGACCGACCTATATCATCTACTGAAGCTAAGGAGGTCCATAAACCACTTCTATATCAATTCAAGCCGCCACTTAAGCAAGGAGAACCATCATATCGCCCTAAACCACCAAAAGGAGCAACATTGGAGCAAACTAAGGAGAGGGAGGAGTGCATGACATTATATTCGCCCCACCACTACATTCGACCACCAGGAGACATTTCAAGACATTCAAGACCACTAAACCATGCCAATAACCGGAGTAACTCGAGCCAAAACCAAGAAGATATCAAAGAAGAGCTACTTACCAAAGATGGAACCAACTTTATTGGTTCAAGGAGAAAGCAAGGAAAGAAGGACCAACGACTACATCAGCCACTCAATCTCGACCCTTCATCATCATCAGAAGATTTAGGACATTCATTTCGTGCAAAAGACCATCAAGACTTCCCCCATTCAGCGCCAAAGACAAGGATTCCCCCATTGAAGCCTAACGGCTAGTAGAAGACCTTTTCATCATTCAGTTTGATTCGAGTTTCCCCTTTTTGTTTATGACCGTTTTATGTCATTACTTTGAGCCTTTTATAAACTCAAGCATTTGTACTTTTCAATTCACGAAATTATTATTCAAGAAAGTATTGTTTTGTTTCCAAAGAAACCTTCTCTTTGCATTCAAAGTGTTCCTGCAATTTACTAAGTTATTTTTTTAGGGATTTAAAGAGCTTGTAAGGCGTGTAGAATCTCGTTGTTCTTGTGAGGATTAGCCCTTGAAGAACTAGATTCTAACCTTTGGAGTTTGTGGTCATCAAGCTTCAACCAGACTTTCAATCATTCAAGTCTTCATTCCACCCCTTTAAGCTAGAAGCAACGATTTCAAGGGAACATTACTTGAAGTGATTTCGAGTCTTGTGTCAATAGCATATGGTTTTATCAATCCAAAAGGGGAGAATGAAGCAGTAAGAATGCAATAGAGCTCTTAATTCAAGCAAACATAGATAGTTTTAGAAGTTTAACAACCTAAATGATCAAGCAAAAAAGCAAAAGAAGGCAAGCAAAGAGCAATAAAAGCAGTAGGAGACAAAGAAAAACAGAGCAAAAAAAGAGTAAAAGCTAAACTAAACAAAGTAAAACTAAACTTCAAAGACTAAAAGATGGTTCAAGATCAAGGCAATGGTGATAGGGTGGTTCATATTCATGTCTAGGGTGATCAAAACAAGCAATTATAAACACTCACCCTTAGGTAAGGAACACTAATAAAGACTAATTCAATCTCTTGGCATTAATCTATTTTCTAATCACATATTCAAGATAAATCACTTTACTCAAACACATAATCATCAAGCATTAAAATCAAGTTCCGTAAAACCAATTAACATGCTAGATATCTAATCTCTTAGGCTAGGTTTACTAATCTCTTATGTGATAGATCAAACATCAACTCACATTCTCATGCATAATCAATGTCTAAAGGAAATTTTTCATCAATATGGTACTAGGCAATAAGCACATTCAAGCAAGAAATGATAGATGCAAAGACTCATGATTATCTAAACACCCATTTCATTTTCAACAGGAATTTCATCAAACACTTGGTGTGCATGTGAAAACCTAAAATCAGCTTCTCCAACAAAGAGGTACTAAGCATTAAGCACAGTCATATAAGAAATGGAATGAGAAGATCTAAGCCCTAATCAACCTAAACAATCACTAAAATCACATCATCTGCCTTAATCTCAAACCTAAAGCAAACTACTCATTAATCATGGTGAAAACTATCAAATCTATGAAGAAAAAATAGTTAATCATGATTAGGGAGACAAAATATTAAGGAAAATGCAAACTATTATTGAAATAAACAAAGATTCAAATACAAAGTTATTCAAAATCTAGAGAAGAAAAGAAGAACTGCTGGATAAAGAGATGTTTCCAGAAATTAGGGATTTTAAGTATTTATAGGAGTCTCAGTGAAAATGGTAAAATTGTAAATAAATGGTCTTCAGTCTGGGATCGTATCGGTCAGTTGTATCAGTCTAGGTTGATCGAAATGAATCCTATCGATGGGCTTCTGCTGGTCAATGCTGGTTGAGAGGTTTCACAAAAATTACGATATCTGTTGAACGGCATATCAGAATGACTTGAAACCAAGTCCTCCTGAAATCTAACTCACGTGGATACAACTTTAATGAATAGTGAAGATGCTTAATAGAGACGGAGGCTACTCGTCCGAGCTGATCTTCAAGTCGGTCAAGATCAACGATAAAAACTCCAGATGGACATGTACTCATTTTATTCGCCGTAACTCTTCAAACACTGATGGGAATGACTCTAAACTAATACCAAACGAAAGCTAACTCAAGTGGCTACAAAGTTGATGAAGAACTCCGAGGCCAAATCGGAATGCAAACACCTCATCTGAGCTGATCTTCAGTCGATATGAATCTTATCGGTCAGCTGTATTGGCCTGGGCTTGATCGATATGAATCCTATCGGTCTGGAAGGTTACCGATACGGTGACCGAAATATACTCGGTGCATTTGTATCGGTCACTTCGTGACCGATATCTTTGATCGATATGGTTTGTATCGGTCACTCCTTGACCGATACCTTTGATCGATACTGATTGTATCGGTCACTCCTTGACCGATAGGAATCGAGCAGTTTCACGAAATTGTAACTTTCTAACCGCTGATGGGAATAACCTGAAACCAACTTCAGACGCAAGCTAACTCACGGGGCTACAACAGTGATGAAGGATGTTGAAGCTGAATCGGATTGGAGATGCTTTGTGAGAGCCGGTTTTGTCAAGTGAAGTTTCTGGCCGCTTCAACAAGGTGCACCTTCTTCTTGGCTCTTTTGATGTCTTGTGCTGCACCCATCATCTCCCAAGCTCCTTATAGTCTCAAAATGCTCCAAACATACCTGCAAAACTCCTCAAATGCACAAAACATGCAATGCTCACCCTAAATCTACACTAAGTTCTAATTGAATGCAAATGAGACAAAAACAAGCAAAAATAAATGTTTAAAAACTATAAAACAATGCAGAATGTATGCTAATATGGTGTAAATAATGAGTATATCAGTTTTAAACCGTTCATGAAAATGCTCTCCAACTGCGCATCAGTTAAACCATAAGCTTGAGTAGAGAGATCTTCAAAGAGATGTATATACTCAGCTACAGATCCTGTCTGCGTAACTCAGAAGAAGGGTTGACTCAGATCCCTCAACTTTTCTTTACTGAATCTTGCAATCAAACGGTCTTTGAACTCTTTCCAGCAACCAAACAGACGTCTGTGCATTTCACTGTTGAACCAACTGAGAACATCACCAGCTAAGCTGATAGACACCAAATCGAGTTTCCCTGTATCATCATATCCTCCGATCTGAAAAAAAAGGTTAAGCCAAGGCAATCCAACCGTACGCATCTTCTCCTCCAAATATCGGTAATTCCACATTCTTTAGAAGACCATTTCTTCCGTTTTCTAAGCAACTATGAGCCCTAATCTCATCAGATCTAAGACTACGGCAAGGTTCCCGGTCAAAAGAGCGTACCTGTTCCGTTGGCGATATCGGAATTGATTTCTCGGCTCTCTTTGATGTTTCCGGATGATTTGTTGCTTCACGATTCAGCGCCGTCATGATCGATTCGAATTTCATCTCTTGATCATCAAATCTTCTACGCGAATCTTCCTCTAATTCGTCGAATCTTCTCCGTGATATCTCCTCCATCTTTACTTGGGAAGTAATCGCAGATTAAAGCGATTTTGCTAACAACTCCAGTGTCACCTGAGTAATCGCTTCTTCCGCTTGGGATTTCTTCGTCGATTGAGCTTGATTCGGCATCGTTTCTTCTGACCTCTGCTACAATTGTCATGATTGTTCGATCCAGAACGCTCATGAACGCACCAATTTGATAAGAGCGTAACCACTTTATTATTATGAACAAGCGATTACAAACCCAAGCGAGTATACTTGCAGGTCCCTCTCAATCCACGAACACTCGGGATGAGCCAAATCAACAAACTGTTTCTGAATGAATGAAATAAAAGGAAAACCCACAACTTTTATATCCAAGTCCGAATACAAAATAAAACCAACAAATTGAATCCGATTAAGTGTTAGAATTTTCCACGTAACCTCCTCTCTGTTTCTTCTTCTTCGAAACGTACACAAGCAGTGGCATATCAACATATAACAGAGCACTCTGTTTCATCAGCCAATTCAGCTGATGAAAAAAGACTTTTTTTGTTAAGCAGGACACAATGTGTAACATAAGGCATGTAAAATGGGATTAGCATTAATAGATTCCCTACGATGCAGTAAAACTCATTCCAACGAGCAAATTTAAGCCCATCAATCTCAGTTTTGTTTTTGGATCAAAACATGAGATTCATCAACTGATATGTATATTCTTTTGTGTAATGAACTGATGATTGGGAGTACATCTTACTGACAGTTTTGATTAGTTGCGGTAATTAGAATGACAGTGAATTAGTTCAATACTGTCGAAATGATTTGAGTTTAATCAATTGATTAAACAGCCGTTTAAGGGCTTAAGCATGTTGTTACATACAAGTATGAATTATATACATTCACCATCTTTTCAAATGAGACTCCTTTTTGAATCTAATCTTTTGAGCCATAAGCAAGCTTGAAGCTTCCAAATTCGTGGGCGAACAAAAAAGTTTCCAAATCTCTCAGATTCGGCGACATGATTTGGTATTTGTTGAGAACATATCGATTGAATAGATATCTTGAATCCTAATTGGGACCCCAACAACTCAAATACATGACCGTCCGGAGCGATTCCTCGGCCTGCTTCGCCCTACCGGAGGAGACCGCGGCGGAAGCGGACGAAGAGAGACTCTTGGTCTGAGAAATGGGTCTGACGTTATTCCGGAGATGCTGATTCATCGAACGGAGAACGTAAATCCAGCGGGAAACGCCTAATTGGTCTTTCAATGTCTCCACGACTCCGATACTCGCCGCCACAGCCCATGCCTTGCTCGTAGAACTCATCTCTAAATTGTTCAAGAGAAAAGACTCTTTTAATTGCTTTTGTTTGAAGTTTGTGAATTTGCCGATGAAAGAATGAGAATCGACTGGTTGGATTATATATAAAGCAGCAGAAACAGACAAAACTGCGTCCCGCAAATAATGAATTGAAAAACAAGATGCCGTAAGCGAGTGTTTTTTTTTTTCTCTCGGTTTCTGTCGTTTAAAAGACCTTTTTGTACTCAGCTTAGACCAATTTGAGAGTTAGGGGACACATTGGATAAGGGACAACATTGGGATTTCGTATATTTTGTATTACAACGGTTTCTGTGTTTCCCGGAACTGGTTTTGTAGTCTATTTGGAGTTAGGACCACTGGACCACGAGTTCCGCCCATCTTCCTTCACTCAACTGGTTTCTTTAAAAAATATATATATTTTTCTTTTCTTTTCATTTTTGAACAATATAGTTTTTTTTTTCTTTTGACATTTGATTTTTCATTTTTAGTTTATCCAGCTGGTTAAATAATTACTTATTGTAATATTCCCTATGTTTCAAAATAAGTGTTACTTTGACACTTTTCACACAAATTAAGAAAGTTAACGAAAAGTCCTTTTTATCTCTAATAAATACACTAAATAACTCTTTCTTTCTAATTAATACACTAAAATAACAAGGTTAAAACTGGATATTATGTTATAAATTTGCATTGAAAACCTATAACGACACTCTTTGTAAAACAAAAACAAAATTTTAAAACGACACTCTTTATGAAACGGAGGAAGTACCAACTAATTTCCAAAGAATGTTAGGAAAATTTTAACATCAACTTCTCTCATTAGTCACTACTCCAGTTATTGGTACAACAAAAACTTGTCAACTTTAACACACATTTTTAATCAATATATGGAGCTTAACGCCTAATAGAGCTTAACTTTTTTTTGTTGTTGTTGATATAGCTAATTAACTAAGTACATAATTCATTAAAGAAAAAGTCTCCTTGGATATTCTATCTACCGCAAATTTTTTCATTTTGGGATTGAAACACCAACTAATATTTGGCAAAATAGGTCAGCAGCGCAGATCCTTCACAGTTTTGCTCAAAGGTACACGCATAATTAAGCCAAACAACATTGTCTAGAATACGAGTTATCAGTTCTTTTGGGTCAAATAAGAATATAACCTTACGATAAACCAGGGTTATGAGAAAATGAGGATGCGATTATGAAGCTGAAATTATAAGAAAACAACACAAGAGACGATTTTCACAATACTTTGTTTTGTTAGCCAACATGGACTTTTGAGTGTTCCATTAATATCGCTTTTTCTTTTTTAATCTTACTAAACCACCACCACTACTTGTTAAAAGAAGCGTAATTCTTGAAAATCAAGATGCTCATTCTATTTCTTAATAACACCCATTGATGCTAATGTTTTGATAATATTGTACAGTTGTTTCTGTGTGACTAATGTTCTAAGTTCCAAACATTCTAGAGCAAGCTATTAATTAGCGATTGTAAACCTTGGCTTGATGCGAAAAATCCAAGTGAAGTAGAAGAACATATATAATAATCAAGTTCGATTGAAAACATTATAGAGATGTAATTTCTTTTTTTACCATTATCATCATAAAAACATTTATATTCATCTACATTCTGTACAAGTATCATTTTCCCTCTACAGATCCGAATCCGTCATTTACTTGCATCCCAAAACAATAATCCAAACCCCAATATGCATGGCCTAATTTCCTCAGATTTAGGGTTCTTCGTTTTTCGATTTCCAGCTTTTGCTTCAGTTAGGGAAAATCTTTCGAATTCAATCGAGGACGGAAAAAAATATCGATCCGTCATTATTAATTCGGACCCCAACAGCTCAAGTACATAACCGTCCTGAGAGACTCCTCGGCTTGCTTCGCCTTCACATCTTTACCGGAGCCGAAGGCGGTGGAAGAAGAAGAAGAGAACCTCTTCGCCTGAGAAGCAGATCTCACATTGCTCCAGATACGTTGGTTCACCGATCGGAGAACGTAATTCCACCGACATAGACCTAATTGATCTTTCGACGCCTCCACAGCTCCGATGCTTGCTGCAACCAACCATGCTTTGGTCGTTGAACTCATCTTTTCTCTTCTTTTTTTGTGTATAATTGGAAACAATATTAGAGAAACTAATGCTTTTCTTGCGATTTCTTTTTCTTTGTTGTTGTTGTTGCGTTGTGAAATTTGTTGATGAAGATAAGATTCGAGGAGGTTTGTTTATATAACTGAAGAAGATGGTAAATTTAGCCGCTTGTTAGAGTTCAAAACCATACACTGGTATTAGCATGTTTCTGTCGTCTCGGTAAGGGGATAAACGATGTAATTTACTAATTTGCCCACGTGAGAACAAACTAGATAAGGGATAATATTGACTTTTTGAACATCCTGGATTGCTGCAAGTGCCTACGTGCGCACCTGGTTTCGATTACTCGCGTGTTTCGCTTATCTTTAAACAAAATACGTTAAAAAACAACCCAAACTATCTAAATCTTACAAACTTGTCTTCAACTTTGAAAATTACATATTAGAACCTTAGGTACTTTTTTTTTACCGTTTTTATCATTTTAACCTTATATGCAAAAAGTTAGATCGTGCAATTTGAAATCCTTTAACAAAAAAAAAAAAAAAAATTGATCGTGCAATTTGTTCCCCTCTTTTGCCGTGGGATTTGCCCAGTACAATCATCGATTCGTGTCACTAGAATCCTTGTAAATCTCACGGCTTAATCTTGTTCAAATCAACTTTCTTGATGACTCTCATCTTGAACTTTTCATAAGAAATCGTCTTCTTCAAGTAGTAATGATGAAACCAAAAAAAAAAAAAAAAAAAAACCCAAAAACCACAACTACATCATCATATCATGCAGAGTTCGATTTTTTTTCTTTATCTGTAATATTACCCATTGAGGTTAATGTTTTTGATGACGACGGTACAGTTGTTTTAATCCCATTAAGAAGAGAGCGTAAATGTGTCATACGAATGGATCATGAAAGCTTGATATCATCTTCAAATTTTTATATATCAAAAATATCTTGAGATGTATTTTTTCTTGTTTCCACAGTGACATCATAAACTTTGGGTTCGATTGGTAACATGGCTGTGAGGACTCTACACAATTATACAATTTTTAAAGTTGAATCTTGATGTTTATTTATGCTTAAATCATCTTAATATTTTCTTATTTGATGCTTTTACTGCTTAATCATCTTTGCTATTTGATTTATGTCTTCAAGTTCTCTCAAGCACACACCATGATTGACTAAGAGCAAGAATCATTCTCATAATAGATCTGTTCTTCCTAGTCTAAGACACCAGTTGTTTAGGGAGCATTTTGGCACTAATAGGGTTGTTTATGCATGCTTGCTATTCACATGGATCACTATGCGAAAACTAGGTTAGGTTGTGTGGTAGCAAAGTGATTCTTATCATGAGAGTGGACTAATCTTGCTTAGAACTCTCTGCTAAAATATTAGCCTAAAGATGTTAATTTATGCATCAAAGAACAATTTTTACTCATTTTGCCTCTTCTTACCCCACCTTTAGAATCGATCTTTAATATTCATCCTTCATTCATTTAGTTTCGCTCTTGTTAACTTTAGTTGTTAAGTTTAGATCTTAGAAGGTTCTTGTTTATGCTTGGTTGCTTGCTTATGTGACAATTAGGGTGATAGAAACTATTCCCACTAACCCCTTTTAATCCTTCCTAGCTTGCCCATAAATTCATTGAACTCGTTGCCTCAAATCTTGACTCAAAAGATTGATAAAACTCTCCTATACTACATTCAGATTGTAAGTAGAATGGTCCATTGACCTAGTAGACATAAAAAAACCTACTTGTCACTCAACCAGAGGCCGAGCATGAGGAAAGGCCGAGCATGAGGAAGGAGATTCAAAGGAAGACGAGATGGACCTCAATAGACGCCACTCGTTACATGTGCACGTGCATGACAGAAGCATGGAGCCACCCACAAGCATCTGCTGATGAGACTCACCATAAGAAAAGGAGAGTAAGACGGTCACCTACAGCCACACCTCAATCTAGTAACCCACCAGTCTCCACAGATGAGGATTCAACATCCTCCTACTATTCTTCAATGTTTTGAGGTACTAACACTCCAACTTATTGCACATACCATCTCATTGCACTTTAAATTATTTTTGTATATTCTCTCTTAGCTTTTTATTACACAAGGAACTATGTAATTGAAGTTTGGGAGACAGCTTGTGTATTTGATATTTGTGTTTTGTTTTCTTACTTTTTCCATTCCATAATATAAGTCACATGTCGTACCAAACAAATATAAGTCACATGCATCTAAACATTCATCTATTGCGTAGAAAAGTCATAAAAATTTAAAAATTTGAAAATTTTGAACTAAAAAAGAAAAAACATTTATATGCATACACTTGCTAGGATTGAGTCTAATTGCATAGCATATAAGATAATTAGTATTCGCGTAGGGTATAAACTACTTTTCCTTGTGAATTGTCATTTTAGTCATGAGATCAATACCCTTGTTCATAGTTGTTTGATGCATTTCAGATTAAATCAATTTTTAATGAAGCACCACACTTGGAATATATGCTTTGATAGTCATGTCTTGGTTGAAAGCACTTAGATTTGATTATTTTCTCTAATAAGCTTAAATCACAAATATTGACTCATAATTATTATGCTTGTGTCTTGATTTTTAAACTCATGGATGCCACATAATATTTGGATTATCTTTTTTATTATTTCCACTCTTGTTAATCCAAATAGCTTAACCCACCCAAAACTAAGTCTTTTTTGAAACTTAAACACAATTGTGAGAGATTGTAAGGTCTTTATATATTTTCGAATCATCTAGACAAAATGTGTTGAGTTTAGGCTTACAAGGAGAAGCTTTCATGTAAACACTAGCTTGTCTATTAAGCTTGTATAGGTTAAGATGTTTTATGGGTAGCTTCGTAAAAGTATGTGCAATAATCGCTTGATCATTTGAAAGAAGAAAAAAAGAAAGACAATGTTGTGTATGATGAGTGATAAATGGGAAACATATAAATTGATAAAATGGTGGCAGTAAAGAGAGCTCAAACACAAAGAAGAAAATGTGGTTTCAAAACAACAAAAGAAGGCCAAACAACAAGAAGAATACTCAGCCAGCAAACACCAAGGGTGATAAAGCAAGAAACACCAAAAAAATGAGCCAAAGAAAGCCAAAAACCATTCTCCAAAGGTAAGAAGAAGTTCCCTCAAGAACGGGCATTGATGATGAAAGCAAGGTGGAAGATATGAAGGCAGAAACTTTTACTCCATTTGCACTCATTTTAGGCTTAGCTAGTATTAGGTTATGCTTTGCATGTTTTTGTGCATCTTTGGAGTGTTTGGAAGGTATCAGTGGAGTTGTGGAGACTATGAAAATATTATGGGACGAACCATGCAGCAAACCGTGCAGAAAGGAACCAAAGGGAGTGATGCAGACGATGTCTACTCCTGCATCGGTTACACGCAGCGGTCTCACCCCGCTGTGAAGCTAAGAACCCACTACATGGCGGTTTCATACAATAGGCCACACCAATGCAACAGGAAGACTTACCAGCGGTTACGCCTATTGATATATCATGGTTTTTAACCATGATATAAGTCCTTTTTATTGAGTCCTTTTGGTCTTTTTAGAGTCCTAGAAGAGTCTTTGCAGGTTATAGCATATCTGGAGTATAACTGGAGATTTTGGAACCTTTTGGAGCATTCTGAGTTGAAGCCACGAAGTACCTAGCTCGAAGAAGAAAGTATGCCATATGGTGACGCTCGTCACCAAGCTGGTGACGCTCGTCACCCAGAAAGGAAGGGGTCGTGGCCTGTTTTTAAAAGATTGGGAAGAAATTGCAGTTTTGGCCCAAAAGTTCCAGTATTTGCAAAAAGACCCCAGATCGTGTTTTAGCTTGTATATTAGGTTTTTCAGCCATTCTTTGGGCAGATATCTTGTATCTTATTATTTTTGAGAGCTTTAGAGAGAGATTTGTAGCAGAGCTTTTGGAGAGACAAATCAGACTCCTTCAGAGTAGATTTTGAACTCCTTTACTTTCTATTTCTTATTTCTTTTATGCAATCTATTCTTTTCATGATGTTTTCACAAATCACCATGTCTGAGTAGTTTGTTAGTTAATTTAGGGCTTTTCAAGGGTTGAAGAAGAGTTTGTAGAATTGCTAAAAACTTTTAGGAAATTCATTGGTTCTTCATCTGTGCTTGCATTCATATTGATTTCTTAGACACATCATCTGGATTTCGAAACCCTAGGTTGTTTGATAGATGTGAGAGCATTATTAATCACTTGAACTAGTATTAGATGAGCAAAACGCCCTAGTACAAAGAGTTTTGGCTTAGTAGTTTTGTGAACAATTGAACCTGATCATTACTGTATGTTTAGGTTGTTAGGGTTTGCAAAGAGATTTGAAACTCTGTGATTTAGACATAGATAACTTCTGCAATGAGAATTGATTAGTTATATCTTTACGATTCATGTTCAAGACGATTTTAATTCATTCCTGATTGCATGCATTCTACACTCTCGGATTCAACCTGCGAATTGTCCTGACTTAGCGCCTTTAGCTTTCTGAACTTTAAGAACAGTCTCAAAAACGCCCACTTGCTTTTATTACTTTAGTTATTTCGCATTACATTCATTACTTATCGCTTAGCTTAATCCGAATCTGAACTCTTTAGTGTAGTTTACTTACTCTCTTGGGATTCGATAACCCCTTGTACTACAACTGCTTTGCTGTGCACTTGCAGTAGTTTTATTTGGGTAAAACCTGACCCTATCAAGTTTTTGGCGCCGTTGCCGGGGAGTAATAGCTGCCTATCGATTTCTAGTATTAGGATTTTGTCTAAGTTTTTATTCGTTTACTGACTTTCAGTTACTTTTCTTTGTTCCTGTTTCAGGTGTATGCCTAATCGCAGAACCAGAAGCAACAAAGAGAAGGAGCTTGTGACTTTGAGCATCGACGAGCTTGCTAGGTTGGAAAGAAATAACAGGAAAGCTAAGAAGCAATCTACAATGGTCGCTCCACTTATCTTGGTTGAAGATGCAGAAGGTCA